ATGTGAATGTATTCTTGCTCATCGCAGGTACGGCCGGATACAGATCGTGCCAAATCCAAGTAAAGAGAGTTCTGCTGATGAACTTTCGTCATCCTTCAAACCTTGTAGTCTGTTGTTGTGCCTAACATGGACATCAAATCGATACCTAGTACACCGCTCGTTGCTTAGACGACGACGCTTCGCCCTTGGCGGCGGGCAGTATTTTGCGCTCGACGCACCCTGCGGCCCCCGCTTAGGCTACATCAAACAGCCCCTTCAACACCAGATTGAACCCTCACACCGCCTATACCACCGTTTTTGGACTTGTTAGATATCCTTCTTGTCACCAAATAACTCGCACATACACCTATATACACAATGGTATGTAAAAGACGTTCCTTGCCCCCGAAACTCGGACCCCGCATCACTCGTGGCTTCCACGCTATCGTTGGTTGGCCGCGGCCAGGTCGTCCCTGCCCTGGCGAGCGGAAAATGGCAGCGGCGAGTGGCCGCAACAGCACAGCGCGCGTGCTTCACTTTGTCGCACATGGTGTCAACAGAGCCCCTTCACTCCGGCAGCAGCAACACACCAACCGCACGCTTCAACCCACAACAACAACCCCGCTACTAGCAACTTGACAACACACGAATCGAAGAGCAATGGATAACAGTAACCAGGCCTCCACAAACTACCGCGAAGCTTTCCAGCTCTTCGACAAGCGCGGCAACGGCCGTGTCGACCGCGGCGCACTGGGCGACCTTCTCCGCGCATGTGGCCAAAACCCTACACTGGCTGAAATCGCCGACCTCGAGCGTGGTGTTGGTGCAGACTGTACGTATCTCCACATGCCCTGACTCGCCTTCCCAGGCGTCTCACCCCCGCTGCATTCGGACTCCAAGGCTAACGACTTCTCCGCAGTTGACTTCGACACCTTCTCCAAGATCCTCAACCGCCCCGGCGGCTTCCGCGAACCCTTTGACATCGAAGAGTACATCCGTGGCTTCCAGGTCTTCGATAAAGATAGGAGTGGCTTCGTCGGCAAGGGTCAGATCAAGTACATTCTGACCAACTTGGGCGAGAAGATGAGCGAGGAGGAGGTCGATGAGCTGTTCAAGAGCACCATCGATGCCAGCAATAACGAGGTGGACTACAGAGGTGAGTCTTCACGTATCTACATACACTGAGAGTGACATTGGCTAACCCCTTGCTACAGAGTTCGTCAAGACGATTGCGGAGAACTAGGCTACGGTTCCTGCCGTCCTTGTTCGTTTCTTCGTCACCATCTTCTTCTCCTACATTAGGATTTTACGCGAGCATGTCTGAAACGGGTCACGGTTTTTTGCATGCGGATTACGTCGGCGTTGGAACTGTCTTAACATGATATATATACACTTCTTTGATATCTGCACAGTAGGGCTGCAGGGCATGGGAGTCAGATAGCTGCGAGCAGCGAATCAAGATGCACAGACAATATGATAATAAGTCGAGTAATGCAAGTCACGCATGTGCAAGTGAGAAGCTGTTGTAAACAGGGAATGCAACTCTGTTTTTGGATCCATAAGGGACGCTGTGTGCTTATAGACATGTAGGCTTCTTTCCTCCTGTAGCATGAGAAGCCTTGCGCGTTCACCAATGGGGTATCTAGATGTGAGAAGGGTGAGGAAATAAAAACGTCCCGCTGATCCACGCGGCCAAACTCCGAGCGACATGGAAAAAGCAACCGAAATCAATAAACGCCGAGACCCAGATTCGTCAGGGTAATCGTAATCGTGGTTCCATAAGTTCTGTTGAGAAGCACTGTGCGTAATCCCCAGGGGGAAGAGTAGCGGAAGGTGGGGAGCCCCGGGACTCAACGGCTGACGGATCCGCCCTATGCCTTGACCTGAGTGACATTGACAGTGCCCATCCCTGCGCCGCCCACTGCGGATGCAGATGCGGGTGCGGTAGCCGTCTTCCCCATGATCATATCGCTCGTCTTGACGAAGCCACCCGGGAGAAGGAAGACGTAGTCTTCGCGCCTGCCGGACCGATCGACGGAGAACTGTTGCCAGTCTAGCTGGTAGCCCACGACCAGGTTGCACCGTCCGCAGCGCTGTAGATAACGCTTCTCGAAGCCCTCGTCGCTGGTTATGATTTCAGCTTGGCGATCTTGTCGGGTGGACAGGAGGAGGCCGTAGTGGTCTTGCGAAGCCGCGTTTTTGTTGCCACCGGAAGTGGGCGCTGGAGGCAGCGGCATGATGTGTGCAGCATCGCGCGTGTGTTGGCGTTTGGGTAAGGAGGGCAGCGGTGTGGTGGTTGCGAGTAGCAGATGGTTGCACAGGCAGTGGTATGTGTAGACTGTGTTGCTGGCCTGGAGGGAGATCTTCTCCTCAGGAGTGGGAGAAGGCATGGCGAAGTAGGCGCGGGAAGTAGTGGCGATATCCATCGTAGAGGTTGTGTGTGAGTCTATGGGAGGAAGGTGAAGTGGACGGTCCTGGAACAGGCGTGTCGGGGAATTTATGCTTGTGAGCAAGAAGCGATGCCGAGACCCTTTGTATAGTCGCCTAGAAATGATGCGCGGTACCGATCAACGGAACCGTGGTTGGATGGATACAGCGAGAACGTGGGCTGGCGTATGTGGTAGTCGCGCTATGTAATCGAAGTGGAACGTGGTGGAATATGCTATGTCCGATTGGAGTTGAGACGGGCAGAAAATCGGAGGTCCGACCCTCTTATAGCTGGAGCGAAGGAAGGTCGACGACGAACCCTGATGCTGGTTCCTACGCTTGAGAAACAAGCGTACGTGGTGGGACTGTGGGGATCCTTCCTGTCTCGTCGTGCACAATGTAGGATCGCCGCCAGTGCAGAGTGCCAAGTCAATCAATAGTAGCTTGTCTGTGCAAAGGCAGAAGCGGGTGAGGCGGAGGCGGAGGCGTGTTTGCGCTGGAGGGTAATTTGTTTGAAAGCCGGGCCGGGCTCGAAACCCTATGCTCCAGCCAAGCTCAGTTATGAGACCCTCTTGGCGTGTCCTGTTGGTGGAGTAGGCGGTCCAAGTAAGCTAAGCTTGGAGTCAGAGGGTGCTAGCAGAAAGGTCTGAGTGAAAAGGGTCCACTAGGCGCTCCACAGTAGTAACGGGAATTGATAAGAGCAAGCAGTGCAGGTGGGCATGGGCTTTAGGCAGAGGATGTGAGATTTATAGTGCCATAGGCGGCCGGCGGAGGAGGAGTAAGGGCAGAGGGCGTCGGCGGCGTCATTGCAGATTGCGCGGACAGCGGCCAACCCCACGATGCGGCGTCGGCGTCCCCACGGTGCTGGACGTGCGTCTGGGTGTGCGAATCGATGTGTAGCACCTCAGCACGCGTCGCATCAGTTCGACGCGGATTGCGCCGCCTGCAACTCAGCATGTGACACGATATGAGATTGGGCCGAGAACGGGGCCCTTTGGTCGCCTCGCCTCGAGATTCCGGTGTAGCGTGGGCGCTACGGCGGTGGTGGGGTGAAGAGGTATGGCGTGCATGGTGCATGGAAGCGCACGAGGAATGTTCCGTGCGCCGTCGCCCGCTGGCGCTGAGTTGAGACTGCTTGGCGCCTCAGTGCCTGCGACGACGCTTAGACGCCATCTGAGGCGACACACGGGGAGGATGCCGCTCACCAAGGAGGTCGTCAAGTTTGGCTCCTTTGTCGTCACCAACCAGGTGCGTTGTGCCTGTGCAGCCGCTGCCGTAGTCGCAGCTGAAGCTAACTCCATGTAGGTCTTCCACCTAACACGCCTGTCCTTTGCCATAGTCAACCTCAAGCCACTACTGCCCGGCCATGTCTTGGTTTCGCCGCGTCGGGTCGTGCCACGTTTCAACGATCTATCCGCTGCCGAAGTGCAAGACCTCTTCCTGACTGTACAACGCGTGTCCCGCATGGTGGAGCGAGTCTTCAGTGCCTCGTCTCTCAACATCGCCATACAGGATGGCGTCGATGCAGGCCAGAGCGTGCCTCACGTTCATGCACACATCATCCCTCGCAAGAAGGACGACCTAGAAGAGAAGGGTGGCACCGATGCCATATACGCCATGATGGAGAGCGAGGACGCAGACCTCAGTAAGCAGCTAGCCAACAAAGAGAGGGCAGCTGGGGCAGGTCTCGCTGAAGAAGAGAGAAAGAGTCGCTTTCCTGCTGTGGACAATGATAGCCGCAAGCCCAGAAGCGACGACGAGATGCAGAAAGAGGCCGAATGGCTGGCAGAGGAGATGGCCCGCGACGAGCAAGCCGCAGGGACTGCATAAGATGGCCAACGCGCTGTCTAGGTGGTTTGTTCTTGAACCGTCATGCTATACTCGGAGATTATATGCATCGCAGCTACTGCAAGCAATGGCGTCCACATTGGACTCAAGCCTTGCCTCATACTTGCAGATGATGGATGGTGCATATGCAGACGCTTGCAGTTCAGAACAGTGTGCTTGCAATAAATGAGTGCCCTTCATAGACCCAACACCGATAAATCCTGGATTTGTCGTTACGCAGTCATCCCGTCTCCTTTCTTCCCGTCCGCTCGCTTGAGCGCCGTCATACTTTCGACGCTTCCTCGTTGTCGAGAAACCCTACATAGCCTTCGAACGCACAACGCAAAATGGCCTATTCTGCACGGTAAGAAGCACGCCGGGATTCGCGTCAACATCTGTACCTTTGCCTGCGGCGCAGTCGCGTTTGCTTCCGTTATGCAGGAAATCTTGGCGCTGCAGCCTGCAGCCTGGATTGCCGCCCCAACACCGCGCCTTCTACCGTCGTGTATATCACGCTACCACTGGTAACATTGTCCTCGTTCCTCGTGTCTTCAAGGAATAATCCTTCAGCAGTCGCGCCAGATCACTTCGCTCAAGGTCGCGGGTTCGTTAGAACTCTGGGTCTTGGCGTAGGTAGCCTTTGCTGTGTAGTACCAAGGTACCGCTCAGTCGATAAGCTGATCAACTTCAAATTGTCGGCCTCCTGCGAATATTTCAAACCATCGCTCACGATCTCAACATCCACAGGTCGTTGTTACAGCAAAACAATGACGTCCTCTAATACCGACTCAGACTCTGATGAAGTCGAATTCCTACACGAGACATACAAGGGAAAGGAAGTCATTACTCTCCAGGACGAATTCGAGCATGCCAACGACACTGAGCAGACGTCTCGCAACTACTCATCACCATCTATGATAGGCTTCCGCCTGCTCGATCTTCCCGCGGAACTGCGAATCCACGTATACTCGTTTCTGATCCCACACAACATGGAAATTACATTCGAGCGGTATGGATGGTCGAGTAGCAACGAACCCGACTGGACCACAAATGCCTTCCGAAAGGACGAAGACGTCTCATACAAGATAGGAAGCAATCCATATTACAAAAACACAAAAGTGCGCCGCTATAACCATTTTACGGTCGAGACACAATTATTCCGAGTGAGTAAATTCGTCTCCAATGAGACCAAGTGTAAGTCATCCCGTTGGCTCGTATCATTTTGTACTAACACTTCCAGCGGTTATGTATGGGTCGAATACCTACAACTTTACTGTACATGGAAATTCCATGTGGCCAAAGTCACTACGGAGCCCGTTCGTCTTTGGACCTCTCGGTCATCCCGATCGACTCCCTCTACTACGTAACCTGCGAAGCATCCATATCGACGTAATACCCGATGTCGATAGCCACTGGGCGGTTAAGCGTCAGCGATCAAGACTTGAGTATCTTGTCGAGATTCTGAAAGAGCATGCAGATGACACCGACCAAAAGTCTCTTTTGCAAGATCTGAAAGCTGATTTCCAGCTCGTCTCACAAGACAAGATGAAGAGGATGCTGCGCGATCGTCCTACCTGGCAGCAGGTCGTAAAGCCTAGTATTCCTGAAGACACTGGGAAGTTCATGTTCGGTCTTGAAAGCCTGGCATCCCTTCGGGGTATCAGAGACGTCGAGATCAACGGACTACCAGAGTGGTACACCAAATGCCTACAGCTAGCTATACAGGGCAAGGGAGGAGACATTCAAGAGACGGACTGGCCGCTCGTGGAAGTCAAACGTCGTGCGAATGGGAAGCGCAGGTCGTCGAAGAAGCTGTTCGTCTCGATTCGCAAATGGCATCAGCCAACGCTGGATTGGAAGGAGTTTGCTGAACGTAACGACATCACAACCCCAGCTGACATTGACAAGTTCTGGGCAGACGAGACGTAGACTTGGCTGGTGTGCATGCTTATCTTACTCAAACAACGAGGCTATGTACACTAAGCTCCTGTAACAGCGGGGTCTGAATCATGCGATACATTGACACAGACATCCTCAAGACGCGTGGGTGTATCAGCAGGAAGATGAAGCAGCTCGTTGCGCTCATGGTCATATATGATCGTACAGCCTCGCTAGGCCATGTATTCACAAGTTTCGGTGATGATGGTCCTGAAAAGTGACAGTATTGACCGATTCAGCTTCAATGTAATGATGGAGTTAACAGTAGTTGGAAGCATTTGAGGGAGGAAGCTCTGCGGATGACGATTCACATGTGACACAGCTGCTGCATCGGCTTCGTAGCTGGCATGAGTAATACCTGAAGAGACCACGTCTTTCAACAGCTATTCCATCGCTTTTTGGCCTGCTTGAATGCAGAGATGACTGCGTGTAGACGTGTGACTCTTGCTGTCTTACTCCATCCATGAATGGTACCTACAGGTATGTGGCTTGCCCCACGTTTGCGGCTTGATTGGCTGGCGAGCATGACGCGAACTACGACCATGACCTAATGACTCCTATCGCGCCGCGGCCTTTATCGCCATCTGTCCCTAAACACATGCTCACTGGGTAATAGACTTCTGTCTCCTTGTCCTCTGTTCAGATATCTATCTACTACGATCTCGTAGCATCTCCCTTTGTTGAAGCCCATCCCTACCACGCCTCCCGTAGTTCGCACCCTCAACGCCACCACAATGGCCGTCGGCGATATTCCCTCAAGCCCTCAGCAGGCAGCTGCCCCGCCTCAGCCCATCGACATCGAAGCGTGGACCGAGCAAGCAACGGTTGCGCTCAGCTCGGTGGCTATATCCACCCCTGGTGATGCGCTTCAGGGTACCTCGGTTACGCTTGCGATACCGCTCGAACATGATGCGCCTGCCGCTGCCGCCCACCCCGTAGGTGCCTCGGCAGCTGCAAAGGAGGGTGGCTACTATCATCGCAAGGAACCACTCCGTCGCGACAGCTTGAAGAGGCGTGAAGCCCTGCTCCGCGGCAAAGAGGGGTCAAGGCGCAGGCAGCGTTGGGAGAATGGTACGTTGAGGGTCTGCCCCTCCCCATTCCGCTGGAGACGCTTTGCGCATCACGACACCATCTCCTGATCTTCTCATGCACTGCGAGTAATTCATCGTTCAAAGTACGCGTCAATTGATTTCTAGCCAGATCGCCTCCTAAACAACCCCTACGCTGAGCCTCCGCTGCCGAAGGACTGGGAGGTCCATCCTACCTACACGTCCAAGAATGTACCCTACTATCTCGCTCCGCTCTGGGACGCCGGCCTCAAGCGCCAGTCCAACGAACGCAAGACCGCCGCCGTCGCCCAAAAGTCCGCGACCAAGACTGTAGCCAACAAGCCCACAACTCCCGGTGTCGTACCCAAGGAGCTGCGCGAGAAGCTGAAGCGATCACGCGGTGCCAAGGGTCTGCTCATGGACCTTGAAGGCGAAGTGCGCAAGTTCGTAGAGGGCTGGGAAGAAAAGGAGCGCAAGGCAGAGCAAGACGGCCTACCTGCCGATCCGGACAGCGAGGACGACGAGATCGTCTTCGTTGGAAGGAACGGGCAGATGAACGATCTCCGCTCGCCTACAGAGGCTGAGGCTATCAAGAAGGAGCTCATGCTCTTTGAGACACCCGAGGAAGACGTTGGAGGCAGCTTCGGACGTTGGCTCGTACACCACATTGGGGTCTACTATGGCTTGAAGACCTGGAGTGTCACTGTTGGCAATCCAGCCAGGCGCGAAGCCTATGTTGGCCTAAAGGGTGCGAAGCTCCAGGCTGGCAACACTGGCAGCCAGGTCTGTGGCACCTTGCCTCGACCGCTCTATGGCTTGGTATAGCTTGCTCATGGCCTCTTGAGCTCCTTCAAGATCTGTCGCGCACTCCATGTCTGTTCATTTGGTCTGCTTCACTCATGTACACGGCATGTACATGATTCTGTATCTCGGACTCACACCTTTTCATGATTTTTGTCGCCGCTGCGATTCGCATCTGCATCTACACCTGCATATAGATGGATGGGCCGTAACTCTTTGAATCACACATCATGTCCTTCTAGTAAGCTTGACTGAACAATTAATCGTGTTGCTGATGTTATGCTCAATTGGAAGTAAGGCTGACCCAAAGCTCGGTCGCGTAGCACAAAGCAGGGCCAACCTCTTAGCTCGGCTTTGTGCTGTGCATGCACACATGAGTCGCGAACGTTAGGACCATGCTACGTGCCCTGACTCTCTCATAGACTTGTTCTTCTAGGATCACACAATGTTGTCAGTGGCGTTTATGCGTTACTTCGCATAAGAAGATCGTCTGCAGGAACGATCCTTCCGATGTAATTCGTTCGTCATCGCATCGAATGTCCTTGTCGCGCAACCCCATACCTGGACAACGTCCCGCTTTTGCAGGTGGCATTACATTCCACAAGACAAGAGTGTTCCTATCGGAAATGGATCGAACATCCTTCCAAATGATAGTCGAGAGGGGTGGTCTTGGCGGATATGTGAGTTGAGGTCGTACTTTATAGTCGAAGTCCTGTCTGGTTGGTAGAACCATTGAACGCGTATGTTCCGACTGTGTTCCTTGAAAGCTGTCAATACGGGTCGCAATAGTTCAAAAATGGGGGTCCAGAGGTTGAGTCGGATGTTTCTCTGGGGCAGTCGGATGTAAAGGTGGAAGTCGCGTTTATGAACGATGCGAAGTAATTGGTCAACCATGGCCTGCGCTTCGGCCGGGCTAGCAACAAGGTCCTTAACGGGGACCTCAACAATCAGTCCTCTCAGTACCGCTGTAGGCTTGAGACCAACTTTGAAAGCATCTGCAGTGAGTAGCCGGATTGCCTCAGAAAGCGTCGTTGCGAAGAGGTGGCGGTAATTCGATCCTCCAGGTACCATCTTGTACCACATCTCCAGCGCCTCGCGCGCGGTCTCAATTCCAATGTAGGACTGTTTGATGAAGTGTGGAGCTGCTTTGTGTCCAATACATTCCTCCAAAGTTCCGAATTTACAATAGCAGTCTTCCTTTACAAGGTCGCACAGGTGGCTCCAGGACTTGTGCACAGGAGCGGTTGCGCCGCCATTCGCGCTCCAGAGCTCTTCATAGATCATTTCGCGTATCTCACGTGGCAAGAGACGTTGCATCTCATCGCAGAAGGCCATATTCCAAGCTCGACTGTGAGATCTTACAGTGGCTCGCGACGTCCTTGGAAGAATGCGTTAGTGTGTTGTATGTTTGAGAGCGAAAACAATGCATTCTTCCACATACTTCGCGTATAGAGCACGCTTCTCGACCAGAAGCCGCATTCTTTCCTTTTTCAATTCTTGAAGCTTGTTGTTGATGGAACTTGTCTGTTGCATAGCCATATTTGTAGATCAATCCATGTACTCGCAAAGGTGAAGGTAGAGCGTACTCTTGTAATTGTTGGTACGTTCGCCATGCATCTTCCTTCTGGCGATTCTGCTTGCACCTGCATGCACTCATCTTGTTCATCTGAAGTAGTGACCACGACAACGTGTGAATAGTATCTAGGAACCGGGGACGTGTTTGACCAGACCGAGAAAGATCAGAATGTGGGAGAGCAACGTTCGTTCGGGAATCTCAGCTAGCCATGCGGACGCGGCTCCGGGATGAGGGTAAACAGGTCACCACTAGGGCATTGTGTTAGCACGTACGCCCTACACCGAATCACATGTGCAGCGACAGACGCATGCATATACACCACATGGAGTGCTCGATGTTTTGGAGGATCATTAACAATACGTTGATTCATGACTGCAAAACCGCTGGCTGTTCGTGCAATAACTACGAAACATCCATGTCGACGGCGGGAAGTAAACGTTGTCCTCCTTCATCGCCGCTAGTCAAACTTGGCAAAAGCAAGTTCATACGCCAGAGCAAGCGTCATACGCGCGTGCTGAAGCATATGGTCGAAGCTCAGATACTCAATCTTATCTTCGGTTGTGTGTATCTTGTTGTCGCTATACTTGAAGTCGGACTCAATGACGAAGGCTGACGGGTAGCCGGCTTTGGACGCGCTGGCGTGATCTGAGCAGGCGTAACCGCACTTGGTCAGAACATACGGAATGCCACAGTAGACAGTGATGATCTTTTTGATGAACTCGGTGAGACCGGGGTCAACGAAGTCAGTAATGACACCAACAGACTCAGGCTCGCCCGCGTCCAGCGTCTTCTGGACGTAGCCGGTCATGTCCTGCTGAAGCATAGCCTTGACCTTGCGAGCCTCCTTCTCGTAGGACTGGAAGATGGCCTGCGATCCCAAGAGGCCTCCTTCCTCAGCAGAGTACCAGTGGAACTCAATTGTGTTGTCTGCCTCGCCCTTGAGGATCTCTTCCGACTTAAGGAGTACGCGCAGGGCTTCGAGGATAGTTACGGTACCGCTGCCGTCGTCGTCGGCGCCTGGGGCGGCCAGGAGAGCTGGGAAGAAGAGGTTGATGCTGTCCTGGTGAGCGCCGATGACAATTGTCTTGTCGCTCTTGCCAGGGATGGTGGCGATGATGGAGGACTGGCCCCATGGGTGCGGGAACGCCTTCACGGAGGCCTTGACAGCGCCTGCATCCGCAAGAGTCTTGTTGACCTGGCCAAGGAGCCATGCCGAGCTCTCGACTCCGTATTTGGACTTATAGTATCGCGTGTGGAAAGAGGTGAAGGTCTCGAGATGCTCGCGCATGTTGTTCTTCTCCAGCTTCTTGAGCAGGGGAACGATGGTCTCGTTGTGTACAGGCTTTTCTGGGAACTTGACGCTCTCGGTCTTGAACCGGCGATCCAGTGTGCCGAGCTCTTCATTGTGCGTGATGTCGAAGAAGTTAATGTTTTGCTGTAGCATGTCAGCGGCAGGCTCCACATCGTCCACTGTCGGTGCCGGGTGGCCATACCTTGCGTAGCTCCCATTTCTCATCCTCTGTAACCCATCTTGTCTCACCCGGTGACAGCTCGATGAGATACTCGTCTGGCTCGATGATAGTAAGCTGCGGCTCCTGCAGGACCGCCTGGGGGTCCTTGGGATGCGAAAATGCAGCTGCAAGGGCTGCAGTGTACAGAGGTAGTAAGATCGTCGTTGACTTCATGTTTGCTGGAGTGTAGATGGTAGCAAGAGCTGTGATAACGTCAATGGCAGCTGGCACGGTGGCTGGGTTGACGCGATGATGCCGAGATAGCGGCGGAGCTGTCCTGTTTCAGCCAAGCGCGTAGATCATCCGTCACGAGGTCACGCGTCCGGATCCAACCTTGGAAGGTTCTTCGAAGCCAGCTCTTCATACTTCACGCTGCATATTCAGCGCTACTTCAAGCACCACTACTGTCTCTCTAACAACTAAGCTACAAGTCTATGGTATCAATATCTTCTTCCGCGTCGCATCTATTTGCAACCAGCCGCGATCAATCCCACCCGTGCACACCCGGGCATCCTTCACCTGTGATCTGCCAACGCCGCCACCAAACAACTGGATCGATTAAGTCACCATAGCCACCCACCGACCTGTTCAGATGCGCAGAAGACAGAATATGCTGCCTCTTGACGTCGCACACAGTTCGTGGTTCGGACCCGGAAGCTTTTGTTTTTCGGGTCGAGTTTGTGGAAATGACTCCCTCCCTACTGTCATGGATTGTGCGCGCGCTTCAGGTTCTGGCGAGGGCGCCTGGTCTGCATGTGCCTCTACCTGTTGCTTTTGTTGCTCATTAGGCTTCCCAGGAGCGCTCTCGTGTTTCAAGTTGTCTTGCACTTTCCTTACCGCTTTCCGAAAGGCTTTTGCAGGATTTGGCTGCTCCATTTTCACCCATTCCAGTTGACGTACAGGGATACCCGACGTCTTGCAGGCGATATGCAATTGTCGGGCAAGCTTGTCAATCTTGACGTCGTCCAGGTCTCTCGTTCTCAGGGATAGTCTTAACAGTAGGGAAGACTTCTCGGCATCCCGTCTCTGGAATGATGCGTCTCTTCTGGTGTTGGGGTTGAGGCGGTACAGGTCGATGTTCCGCGTGAATCGTTAGAGGCGATCCCATATGAGTGCAGCATTGGATGCTCGTTTAGTGTTGATCCTCTCCCAGAGCTTGATGACGGAAAAACTCTCTTCTTTAGACTCCTCGATCAGTTCTTCGAGCGAGTCACAGAAGGCCGTAGTAAACGACTTCTCCCCAGGCTCATTCGTGTAGCCTTCTAATGTCGATGCTGCCAACAGCTGGTATGCTCTCAGCTCGGTGCTTCTACCCTTGACGGCTGCAGTACTAGCGCAACAGCAGTCTAGGATTGACAGCACATCAGCCGTGGCAAGGGTGCGTAGAGGCTCTTCTGCTTGGCCCCAGAAAGCGACTGGTGCGAAATTACCGGAGACACTCGATCCTTCTGTCCTACGCCCTGTCAGCCTCGCGCAACTGACCCGGGTCTATTCAACTTACGCGGATAGCTCCAGGTTTCGGACGTTGCCATCAACAACTTGGCTACCGTGTCCTGTGTAATAAACGATGAGAAGGTTGTCCTCATCATCATGTTTGTGCACATGCTGAAGGATCTCGAGGTTGAACGCGACCTGGGGGTTGCGAGTGTTCTTGATATTCGCGATTGTGACCCCATAGCCAAGGCCTTTGGAGAATAACCATTTCAGCCTCTGAACCTAGACAGCATGTTAGTATCAGTCTTTCGTATTGACGGGCAGTATAAGTCACCTCCTTGTTGTGCCCGTCTTTGAACTCATCGATGCTTTCATCCCACCGGAGGATGAGCACTTCAACCTTACGGTATCCATTCGGTATGTCGAGCGCATTATTGGATGTTTTCTGGAACAGAGTTCGCCTTTCCGCTTCACGCTTGAGTGCCACTGCATCATCGCCAGGACGCAGCAAGGCTCCGCTTTGGGCAACGGTAGGGGAGTTTTGACGTGGGAGGGTCATTGGTGCAGGGCTTTGACCGGCATTGACACATGTTGCGTGCACCTGTCGTACACCGGACGGGCGTGAGGCTGTCATGACGAGAAGGCTTCAACTACTGGGAGGTACAGCAGGAAGCCGTGGCCTTATTTAATCCTATCGCGCATTTCGCTGCGGCAGCCCCAGTCGTTGCAAAGGTCCTCGTGTGGCTGTGTACATCCTATTCAGCGCAATCGCCCATCATCTATGTTGAACAGCTCGAACACATGTTCGTCTAGTTTACCTATCGGTTTGCCTTGTTACCTATTGGCTTGGGGAACCTTGACGCGACCCCGCTATCGTCCTCCGGCGCCACCACTTGGTTCGCCAACCGCAGCGTAGGTCGACCCTCCTCTACGACCCAACGCCTCACGTTTGATTCGACAAACGGAGATCATGCGGCTCAAATCTTGGGTTGAAGGCCCATCAGCTTGTGAGGTCTATGATTACCCGCAGGATTGCCTACATAAATTGCTTTGTCTTGAGGCTATGTTATAAGAACAACGGCAGTACATAAGTCTGCCTTGCTGCCTCGCTGCCTCGCTGCCTCGCTGCCTCACCATCCGCAGACTAGAGAGTCTGTACACAAGACGATTAGGCTTTGACACGAGGGTACTGAATAACTACTATGTCCTCCCAGGTAGGTCACACGAACCCCTCCATCCCATGTAAGATCTGAGTGGCTTCACGCTGACCGGAGTCCTCCGCGTTCCCTTAGGACACAGTGACGGAGGGCGAGCGGAAGAAAGCCAACGTGGCGCGGGACGAGAATGCCGAAGAAGTGAGTCGGCCCCTGCGCTGCTTGTATCGAAAATAAGCTGACCAGTCTCGCAAAGCGTGAACCAGGCTTCAAAGATGGAGAAAAAGTCAAGATGAAAGTCACAGAACCAGTAGTAAAAGGCGGCACGAGAACATTCTTCAAGACATTCACGGTCGCTGCGAGCCAATGCCCTGTTAGTTCGTGGAAATACCAACTTTACTATGATGGCGTATTGCACGCGCAAGGAGCCTGGTTTCCCGAGGATGACTTGAGGGCTGCTTGAAAGTCCTCTTCACCGGAACGCTAGCGTTTCCCAATGAAAAGGCCTGCTTCCATAGTCAGCTGTCAGATCTCAGCCTGATGTAACGACCACATTGTGTTAAAGCTCCAGTCTCTCTGCGGCTTCTGTCAAGCAATTTTGCCCATCTAATGAAACATTGCGTGCTTTTTTTTTTCAATATGCAGCCCTCCACTCCTTTTGTCGACGTTGAAAAATGTGGATCGGATAGCTCAAGAGATGCTATTATCGACGTGGACATCACCAGTCGTGCAGTCACGCTAGTGAACAAGGAGGCAATTCGTTCGTGCTCCGCCTCATCGCAAGGTCTGATGTGCGGTATTAATACAACTGACTAGGTCCAAAATTGTCGCGTGCACAGATCGACGCAGAAATCAAGACGACAAAGACCATACCGTGTAAGCTCCGCCACTCAACTCAGCCTTATTCTCATTGCTAACTCTTTAAGCAGTACAGGAGTACCCAACGGGCTACCCCCTACAAGCGGCTTTCCAGTCGAGTGAATCCAGCTGGTCCATCTATCGCGGGTTCAGTTACCTACACGCTCGCGTCATACTCGACTTGCAGGACGAGCTACGTTGTTTGGAAGAGGATTTAGAAGAGGTAGACCTAGAGAATGAAGGAGAGGATCGGCTGCGGTCTCGGAAGGACGATCTTAGGTTTGCGAAGGATCAAGGCATAGTCAGCCCTCGTGCTAGCCTCCTAGAAAAGATCAGGAGCAAACTCGTGAGCTACGGTCGGTTGTTCACCGTTTCGCCTTGCATCACGTTTACTAAGTCTTGCATGTAGATGAGATTCTCGTCAAAACTAGAGAGCTGAACGCTTTCCAGCGGCCATCCAACCGCGACTACCGCAGCTTTCGCACATGGTTCTGGAACAAGAAGCCGCTTAGCTACGAGCTAGAAGAGCAGTTCATCAAGCGTAAGGAAGACCTTGTTTCACTCCGACACGGTCGCGAATGGTCCGGTTTCGACGGACTCATCGAATCCTGCATCCAGAGGGTACATTATCGCCTCGTCCAGGTGAGTCGTTCCCACCCTTTGCAGATGTGTGCTAAAAGACAACGTAGAAGGTATTCGCAACGAAAGAACTTCGCGACAAGACGAATGACGAGCATGTTCACTACTACTCTCAGTCTCGCATAAAGAAGCTTGTTGGGCTGATCATTACACTCATCATCTTTATCCTCCTGGTACTCCCGGTTGTTGCCATGTACAAGCTGACATCGGTGGGTGATCGTAACTCCACCTTCGACGCCGTTGGGATTCTGGTTGTGTTCACATTGCTATTCTCTGCTGCCATGAGCTTGCTCACAAAAGCGAAGCGACATGAGCTATTTGCAGCCAGTGCCGCATACTGCGCCGTCCTGGTCGTTTTTATCAGCAATTTCAGCAATGATGGAAGCCGTCAAAGTGGATGAGCCCGTTTAGACAGTGGGAAGATGAGCAGCTAAATTCCTTTCATTTCTTTTGTCACGGATTTATCTAGGATGTGCCTACTGAAGGGTTATGCTCGATCCCTGTGCCAGGTGCATTCTACGCGTGCGCGATGTAGATTATCGTATAGGGTATAGTCATGGGGAAGCTCTTTCCAACATGTGTTCCAGTGGTAGGCAGTAATGTAGAAAACGCATCAGTCGCCCTCGGTGTATTCTTCATCCAGGTCGTCTTCGATACTGGCTTGTAAACGAATAAATGGTTGAATACGCGGCTCAAATGGAGTGTTATGGACAACGGGCTAACTCCGGGGTCGCGGATTGCCAGCTGTCCAACATCCATGTCGGCGGCAACGTCATCACCTCACCGTGCGATCGACTTATCACATCTACTAGTGATGTTTGGGTACCAATATTTTTCTCAATGCAGGTATTAAGCTTACGCGTGGTGTGATTGTGTGCGATGCGGGGGACTTTAAGTCCGGGTGACGTCTTCCTAACTCCGGGCGAGGAAGCTCACCACCTGGGCAGATTCTTCGGGTGCCTAGGTATAAAGAGGAGGACAGAGCCAACGAGCCAACGAAGAAACGGTGGTATCTTGTCCAAAGATATTTCGGATCGCACCAGTATACGAATTTGTATGACGACACCTGACACAAAATGGCCGACTCTTCAATCGTCTTCATCACGGGCGGCAACACTGGCATTGGGTACGAGACCGTAAAGGCTCTGTATGCTTCACCACAACCGCACACCATCCTGATGGGTAGTCGCTCTCTCGAAAAAGCCGAAGATGCCATCTCCAAGCTCAAAGGTGAAGTCTCAGAGGCCAAATCAGATGTCGTCCCCATCCAAATCGACATTGAGGACGATGCGTCGATCGAAAACGCATTCAAGAACATCGAGAGCAATTATGGTCACATTGACTCGCTGATCAACAATGCCGGTATGTGCTGTTCTCTGTCTCTCCAATGCGGCAGACTGATGTGTGGTAGGCGGATCTTTTGATGGCATCATGCGCAAGGACCCTAGCCCCAAAGGCATTCGCGCAGCTTGGGACAGAAGCTACTCCCTTAACGTCACTTCCACCCAAGTAGTGACCCATCTTTTCGCGCCCCTATTGATAGCCTCCAAACACCCTAGGCTTCTCTTCGTGACTTCTGGTCTGTCTTCCCTCGAAACCTCTTCCAGTAGCTTCAATTCCAAGCTCATGAACGCACCGCCGCCAAAGGGTTGGCCCAAGCCACCATCCATGGCCCAAACAGCTTATCGCTCGAGTAAGGCTGGGATGAACATGATGATGCTAGACTGGACACAAAGTCTTAGCGTCGATGGAGTCAAAGTCTTTGGCATCAGCCCCGGATTTCTGGCTACGGGATTGGGAGGCATGGGGCCGGAAATGTTGAAGAAATGGGGTGCGGGCGACCCAAGTATTGGGGGCGTGTTCATCAAGGATGTTGTGGAAGGGAACAGAGACGAGGATAGCGGCAAAGTTATCAACAAGGATGGTGTGCAGCCTTGGTAGCTGCGCTATCTGCGGTATGATAGGCCGTCGGCTGTCGCACAACATTCGCAGATCTACTATTCTCGGTATCAGTCCATGGTTTGCTAATTTTCAGCCCCCAAATGAAGACGGTCCCTATGCCAGTATTGTTTTCATGGGAGCACCCTTTCATTCTCTGGGGCTATTTTAAATCGACCTTTCGTGCATGTGTCGACTCCTCCTCCGTCTTCGTGTTACAGCATAGCTTATAATAATATGCATGATGCTGTGTATCCAGGGAAGGCTGACCCATCCGCAGGCACCATTGCCACGGCGTCCAAGGCCTTTGACCCTCATGAGCTGAAACTCGATGTAATTGTGCGGTGAAGAAGCCTCCCAAGATTTACCACTGCATTAAATCGCAGGTAATGTGGAATATGTTGCCCATACAGTTGACGTCTGTATCTTCATGTGGGAAAAGCAGTGAGACTTTCGCTGCTCAGCCTTGTGCCTTCGTCCTCTTATCTCTCCGCGTTCCCCGCCCCCACTTCGAAGAGCACAAACCTATGATCTTAGCTCTGGCCTACTACCCAATACGGCTAATGCTATCATCGCAACAAACTGCGCCTCGCTGCAAGTCGCTTCTACCTTTCCAATGGTTCGTTCTACACCGTGGAAGCATCTTAACGACAAGTATGTTCGCGCAACCGCTCTATCAGACGCTATCTCGTCCGTTAAATATAGAAGAGACAGCAGGTAGCAGAGTTATGAGCTGCATTGCGTACTTTATCGTGTTCTGGCGATGCACAACTCTTTACAATCTGCTTCGATAGCTAGACACATACCTTCCACAAAAACACTGTATACTATTACCAATAACCTACTTCCAATCGTTAACAAGACCCTGTATATCTATTGTACATCTCCAAGATAATATTCGTCACCCTAAAACGTCACCTAGATACAATGGCATCCGAACACGAGTCAGTTTACCTTGGAGTCTGGACAAATTGGTCTCATGGCTCGATAGCCGGCCTCACACTCACGACTACTCTTCAAAATGGCGGTCTGCTCATCGCTTTCCTTGCGCTGTTCACTACGTTTACTGGAACCTGTTTCTGGACCATCGTCTCATTCGCCATCCATCAGAACATGAGCCGAAAGATACCACAAAGTGCATTATACCACCAAAAGCAAGCGATACTTCGCAACTCCGAGACCAGTACAGCGGCTTTATGGAGACTATCAAGAATGTCTTGGGCCTGGCGGAAGGTGGTGGTTCCGCCCGCTTTACTCAGATCGGTGTCATTACCACTAGTCCTCAGCTTAGCGACCTTTTGCGCTTTCAGCACAGCCGGAGTATTCTCTTCGCGAGTAGCCACTACGAGGGGTGGCGAGGTTCTTCTCGTTGGTGACAGGTGTGCTACGTTGAACAGTTCCCTGTTCACCGGACAAAACTACCGGGTAGCTCAATCGTATATTGCCAGTAGGACCAGAGCGAGCGCCAACTATGAGTCAGTTTGCTATAGGAAGTCGGGGTCAGCAGATAGCTGCCGCAAATTTGTCCGAGATACCCTCCCTGTGACGGTCACGACTGGCATTTCCTGCCCCTTCCCGGGCAAAAACAAGATATGTCATTCTCCGACAGCGGCCCTCCGTTTGGATTCCGGGTTCCTGAATAGTCACTCTGATCTAGGTATCAATTCGCCACCTTCCTCAAGATTTCTCTATCGAACCGTTAACGAATGTGCCCCAATACGCGGCGAGGGGTACACATACAGAAATTCAACGCAACCCCAGTGGAGTGTTCAGTTCCTGTATGGACACTATAATGAAGGTTTCTGTGAAAGCAACGACCTTGAGTGCACTCTTCAGTTTGCTGATGCGAACACTCATCGAGGACCTTTAGGAAGCGAGTACTCGGTTTCGTAAGTCCTTCTCGTCGATCAAATACTTCTACAACTAAACATGCGTACAAGTGCCGTCACACGCTACAACGTTATCAACAACGACGAAGTCTTTTCAAACGATGCCTGGCGGCCAATCCAGGAACTAGAAGTTCCTGACGCAGACCTCGGTGTGTACTTCCTTCAGATGAAGGATATCAGGTATCTCGAACCCGTCACCGACTTATGGTTTGAAGCTCTGGACAAGGTGGTCAACCGCGGTCAGAAGTTTGGGAACCTGACTTCTTACGCTACCGAGCTGCCAATCAGAGCACTAGCATGTGCTCAGCAATACCAGTTTTGCCGGCCATCCTTAGAAGAAGTCGAAAACTGTACGCCGCTGAATGGCATATTTGAGGCCACAAGAATAGCCTCCTCAACACTCTTTCCACAGCCCAAAGATTCTGAGAGATTCCTTTGGTCCTTACGCGCCATCAGGGATATGGCCGGTGGCTTCCATGAACTCGTCAAACAGCTCAAGGGCGGATCGCTTCTCGCGAGTGATTATGTCTCAGATAGTGGGCAAGGTGGTTTACCAGACAATCAGTGGGAGCTGGAGCTGGAGCATTGGTTCAAATTCACGATGGCCGACTTACAAAGGGCCATACTCGACCAAGCGACCGGTCCAGTTGTCCCAGAGGCTGTGCCATTCTTTTCAGCGCCCACGTCTCCGGAAGCACGAGCGCTCTGTGGTAGTCAGAAGATCCGAAGTGATTCCTATACTTCGTTCAACGTACTCGGTCTTATGTTAATGTTTTCCATCGGAGGCCTAATTATGCTTATCGCTGCCTGTCTACCGTCTGTCACTGCCCGGTTGCAGCGGAAGAAGCCATTTTCCAGTATCGAGTGGGTCACAAACGATACACTGCAGCTACAGCGGCTTGCACACGAGGCTGTCGGAGCCGGACAGTGGCAGGGCGCATGCGATGATTATCCGCGAACGCGAAAGGGAGATCTTCTGGCAGTAATCGATATGTCCAACAAGGAACACCCTGTGCTCCGAGCTCCCGCAGCGGTCGAGATGGTGAAGGATGCAGAGCAAGCCGAGGAATTTCAGGACGATGAACGAGGTATGGAGGAGCAAAGAAGCGAAGGAAGCGTCGAAGAGCGAAGTGAGGGCCTCAATGTGGCAGGTCCAAGAGAGCAAGGAAAGGCGGAGTCGCAGAGGAATGACTCAATCCACGAGTCTTTGCTGAGTGTCGAGATCCCGCGCGTCTCCTTGGAGCTTTCACATCGCTTTGCCGCTGAAATATGTTAGTGTTCTTATCAGAATTCGATAGATGTGGGAATCATGCAAACCCAGAAATGACGCGCATTCCAGTCAGAGAGCACCACGAAATCTCATGGTGTGAGCATGCTGATAAACGCAGGAGCAAAACGGTGCGCGTAGCAAAGATGCCACCAATGCAAGCGCAGAAGATGACGTGACGCGTGCCTCGGCTATAGAGCGTTATCGATAAGGCACCCTCTAGCCTGGTACCCTTCACCATTACAATGCAACTCTTTATAAGTAAATCGCATACCCTCCAAAATATAAACCATCCAGATGCCGACCACGCGAGGCCAAAAGCGCGACGCAGAAATGGAGGCAGCCCTGAAACTTTTTTTCTCAAGCCCGCGCTTTGCGGTCGCCGGCGCGTCTTCCGACCCACACAAATACGGACATAAGAGTACGCTAGAATATCCTCTCCCAGTGCTACCTGGATCCTATCATCTCTAACACGATATCGCAGTATTCGCTTGGTATCTCCAGCACTCCTTCCCCGCAACGCCTTTGAACCCGCGAAGCCCGAGTGTTACCATCTTGAACCGTGCTCACGCCACCGTGCCCTCGCCGACTGCTCTCCAGGACCCACCAGCATCCAGCTACTCCCTGTCAGTGATTACGCCACCTACAGTGACGAAGCAGTTGCTCAAAGAGGCCAAGGAGGCTGGAATTCCTGCTGTATGGCTTCAGCCTGGAAGTTTCGATGCCGAAGTTCTAGAGTACGCGAAAGCTAACTTCAAAGCGGCGATTGGCGGCAATGGTGGTAGAGGAGGAGAAGGGTGGTGCGTACTTGTTGACGGAGAGGAAGGGATGAGGTTAGCCGGAAAAGAAGCGTCGAGACTCTAGTACCGCGAAGGTCGACCGAGTAGGATGTCTTGCTTCTTAAGCTGGCTGTCCGAATTATTACGATAATGTTTACGATCGATTGAGATGTACTACAATTCATAATAAGAACATATCATGTATTTGGCTAAGTCAAGTTTGCCATCCCACGCCTACATTCATTGTCCTTCAGCCTTTCCTCCACGAACTCTCCGTTCCAAGCCAAGTCTCGTACCCCTTCATCTCCGGATTCATCCTCTTGCACTCCTCAATATCCGCGCCAAATCCCTTCTCGCGAAACCAATCGAACATGTACCCAAGCTCTTTCGACATCCAGCACAACGCCCCGGCGACAGATCGGTACGTCATCGGAAGCTTTTCACCCGTCTGCTTTTCGAAGATTCCCTTGAATTGCTGGAACGAAAGCGACTCTCCTGCTAACGACATACCCTTGTTTTGGTATACCGGAGTATCGTGTTTGAGGAACGCTTGAGCGGCGGAGAACCCAATGTCACTAGTACTGATAAGTTGTAAAGGTTTCTCCTTTGGCAGCTTGATTGCCCAACTCGTTGTAAACACCTTGCCGAAGAAATCTGGAGTCAGATTCTCGTAAAATGCCACAGGTCGCAGTACGGTATATGTCATGTTGCCTTTCCTGGATTCGGAGAAGAGGTGTTGCTCGATATTATGTTTCGTGATGAAGTGGGGGACGGTTGTCGGATCCGAGTCTGATTTTGCACCGCCTCGATCCGCGGAAGAGAAGACGAAGTGCGATACACCGTTCTTGATAGACGCATCTACAAGGTCCTTTCCTTGCTTCTCCTCATTCTTTCCGAGCGCCTGTAGAAGATTCAGCAAAGCTCGACTATCATTGCTGGAAACATGCTCACCTGAACACTAAAGACTCCCCAAATGGGCATCTTGGTGGACTCTCTCGCTGCCTTGAACATCTCGTCGGCTGTATCGAGGTTTCCAGTGATGAGTTTGATCCTCGACGACTTCTTTTC